AAAGGTTAGGCCAGCAGTACTTCTGTCGAATAGCATCAAATGTCTTGTCAATTCCCAAATGACCATTGTCATCATGATACTGCTTGATTACACCAGATCGATAATGTGTTGGCACAAAAAGTCTAATAACTGGATCATTATCAGCATTTGATAGATAATACAACACATCGTCAATAATAAGATGTTTGTCATTTACTGCCTTCTTTGCTATACCTTGTTGTATCTGGCGAACAATGCGTAGTAGTTCGGGGTCTTTGGCTTGCTCTTGAGCTATGCTTACCTCATTGTCTTCACTAAGATGGATCTGAGGTTTGAAAGGAATGTCAGGCTCACCTATATCATAGCGTACAAAATCTTTTGGATTAATTGCACTTGAATTAATGAAATTGATTTCCAATGAGTTCTCATGTACATCTGGATAATTTTGTTCAGTGCTGTTTTCCATTTCCGACGTAGGACTTGTTTGAGGCGTTCTGGATAACAAATCCGCGCAAGTGTTCTCAGTTCCCGGAATATACTCATTCTGACAATTTTAACCCGCCATACTCAAGGCCCATAGCTGAATCTTTTTATTTTTCATTGGGGCTTCTAACAAGTATTTTAGTGGTTTGTGGTCAGTACAAATTACAAATTTAGCATTATGCAAATAATGATCGAATTTTTGAAGAGCATAATGAATCGCAAAGGCTTCTTTTTCGACTGTAGACCAACGGGTTTGAGTGTCACTTAGTTTATGAGAAAGGTAACAAATTGGGTTTTCATTTCTGATACCCGGTAATTGAGAGTCCGCTCCTTGTTCGTTTACATCTAGCAGTTGGGCTAGGCATGCGCCTATCGCTGTGTCGGAAGCATTGGTATACAGAATATACTCTTTATTTGTATCTGGTACTGATAACAGCGGCACCACGGTAAGACTTTCTTTTAAGAATTCAAAAACTTTTTGACATTCATTGTTCCATTTAAATCGTGCATATTTCTTTGTTAGTCATACCAAAGGCTCAGCGATTTTTGAAAAGTTTGGTACAAACCGACGATAGTAACTACACACACCTATAAAGCTGCGTATTTCTTTTACAGTATTATGGGATGGCAATGTTCGAATTGCGGCCACTTTATTAGGGTCTGGTCTTATTCCCTCTTTATCAATAATAAAGCCCAAATACTGTGTTTTCTCTTGAACAAAACTGCATTTTTTCGCTTTTGACTTTAACCCACGTTCTTTGAGTCTTTCAAATACAGTTTGAATGTGCTTTTCATGATGACTTTAAACGAGGCTGCTGATATTCTTGCTTCGTTAACTTGCTTGTCAATAATTTACCTCGTTTTAGAAAGTGTTCATACGTAGAAAAAGCTCTTGCGTATCGAATCAACTGAGATATATATACTCCGTATGCAGGTGATGAAGGTATATTGCTGCATAAGTAAGGGAAGTTGACGATATAAAAGTTAAAGTCATCACGTTTATCATATAGCTTGGTTGTTAGATTACCATTAGTGTCTTTTTCAAGTAAAATATCCAAGTATGAAACAGACGTGTCGGACTCTGTGGTATCTTTTATCTCAAGGTCACCAGGATATATCGTATCGACATAGGAATGGAAATTACCATTATTAATTGACATTATTTGTATATTTTATTTCACTGAGATAGCAACTAATAGATAAGATAAATCGTTTTGATTTGTTAGATAGTTAGTTTATTCAAATACATGTTATAACAAAATACATGTACAAAATGGAAACATATTCATACAAGTGTTTGCAAATCTTCCGTGTCAGATATTATAGGCATCAAAAGACCAATTTATGCTTTATTACATCGTTAATTTAATTTTTATTATAATACTAACTTAGATATTTCCTTTATGTTGAACTTTGAATTAATTCATTTAGAGGGGATATAATGTAATGTAATTGTGTACGTGTGTGTAAGTTTGCAAGTGGGTGAGTGTGTTGATCCTGTGCGAAACGGAAATTGCATGCTTACACGCTTTTTCTCCGCGGCGCCCTTGTTAATTAGTTCTGTCGGAAGAATGTACAGATATATTTCATAGAGAATCAATGAAGACTTTACATTAAGAACCCTAATTTTGATTATTCAATAAAAAACTTTATGAGACAGTTTACGACACTTTAAAATAGATATTTTTCAGATTTGATTATTTTATCGTTTTTTCCCTTCATTTTATTTCATGTTTGAATGCGCTCTCCCTCGTTAAACTGAAGGAGAAAATTGAAATAAGGAAAGAAACAGTACACAAACGATTCACGTAAAACTAAATTCTTCCATCCATCTAACACTTGTACTTTTAATTTCATTTAACTATCCCCTTTTATTTTATATTTGTTTTTGTGAAGCTTTCTATGTCATAGTAATTATAAAAAAGGACTTAGATATAACATTTTTATATGGTATTTAAACATTTTTCGTGTGCTTTTTGAATTATGCTTAATATCTGTTTACTCTGTCCAGCTGTGGTCTGTGGGCGGAATCGTGGACATTTAAACTTCTACTATTTAGTATCCATGATTTCTGCTGATCACACGCCAAATACGTCCTTCTTTCTGATTTCTGCTGAAAACTATATGACATTTTAAACTATACTCTCCACATATAACAAGAGACCCAAGGGCCTTAACGATCACCGGAATATTACACAACACTGTAAAGGATCCATGGAAGTATAAAACAAAATTAACTGATAGAAGAAGCAATGTTGCCCAAGAATTTCAAAAATCTGTTAAAAATGCCCTTGCTTATTGTAACGTACTAGACTTGAGAGATCTCTTAAAATTGGGTTTCCAAAGTCTTACAGGGATGATAATGAATGCAAAATATAAAATTACAACTTGCCTATTGTGTATTATTAAGATATTCAATGCACAACGAATATGTTTTTGTCACATGCCAAGTGCTATAATTCAGTAGTATTCATACACTTGGGCATGTAATGTGGCTATTTTCACTTGTCACTATCTATAATAAGGCCCTTTTGGCTTTTTTAGCCTTTGTTTACTTTGCTAGAGTATGAAACAGGTCTAGACGATTTCCAAATATGGAAGTCAAGAACGATAACTGAAAGTTGCTATAGATATACATCATATACACATTATTATTTTTTGTCCAAAAAAAAAAACAGCATTTTATACACTCAAAAACATATTTTAAAAGAACTCAAAATCACAAGTGCTTTTGTTTTCTTTTCCCTCAAAAAAGATTTTTGAGGATGACTTTCAAATCATTAACGCAATTTTCTAAATAACCAATAGCACCCCACCCAAGTGCAAGTAACCCTGACCCAGGGGACATGAAATTCTTAATATTGGAAGAGGCACCCTTTCTCATCATAAAGCATTTAGTTTGTTGAAGTAACACCAAGTGGCAGAGGATATTATTTTCAAAGCATTAATTTACTTTCAGTATATAATAGATACTCCCACCCCCCACTAATACCACCCCGAAATTGAACCCCTGACCAAAGAGTCATGAAATTGCGTAAAAAGTGCAGTTAGATTTTGATTCAATGTCGAGGCAAAGGCCACATCAAGGGTTCACTCTTCTCATGTAATTTTTTTTAATTCTGCTTGATAGGGAAATAAAAACAGGTTGACTAGTAAAGGAGCATAATTAGTGCCCGTTGAAATTTCAACAGATTATTGGAAGAATTGCTCCACGAAAACTATATAAACACCATCACTCAGAAACTCCAGCATCTTTTTCGTATCAATTTCCAAGTATTTGTATGCAGAATCAAAATGTTTTTTATTACGAAATTTTGTTGATGACCAATCACAAAATGTGAAAAATTTTGATTTTTGTTTTTTATTGAAGAAGGATATGGCAATAGCGAACAGTATTCAATATCAAAGTCCATAAAACAATACAAAAGGAGAACAGAGCAAAGACGGACCTCCGAAACATCAGATATGGGTCAGGTGCCATGGAGGAGCGAGCATCCCCTGCCTACCGGTCAAACTCGCCGTGTGCTCCTTGCCAATTGGGAAATAACGGAAAATCCGTCGTCAATTCAATGTTTAACAAATGGACTAACAACTAGTATAAAAAACGTCAGTCAGCATTTGACTAAATGATAAACTATTTTTGCTGACAAGGCCATTGTATCGACTATAGAATTTACGAACATGATGACTTTAAACGAGACTGTTGATATTCTTGTTTCATCAACCTGCTTGTCAAAAATTTACCTCGTTTCAGAAATTGTTCATACGTAGAGAATACTCTTGCCTATTGAATCGACTGAGATATATACACTCTGTATGCAGCTAATGAAGGTTTATTGCTGCATAAGTAAGGGAAGTTGACGATAGAAAATTAAAGTCATTACGTTTATCATATAGCTTGGTTGTTAGATTACCATTAACGTCTTTTTCAAGTAAAATATCCAAGTATGAAACAGATGTGTAGACTCTGTGGGTTTTTTTTTTATCTCAAGCTCACCAGGACATATCGTATCGACGTAGCAATGGAAATGACCATTGTTAATTGACAATACGTCGTCTATATATGTAAATGTCGAGTTAAAGCCCACAGTAAGTGTTTTCTTTTTTATCACGCTGCAGACTTTGCACAAATTCTGCTTTATATTAATATAAAAATATGTGTGCTAATAACGGAGCGCAATAAGTACCCACTGGAATTCCAATAGACTGTCAATGACTTTTAAAAGCCAAGTTTTTAATTAATGTGGGGAATGTTGCTAAGGTGTTGAAATATCGTATGTTTTGATGTAATGAACTTTGAAATTTTTTGTCATTGTAAACTTTCTGAAAAATTGACTTTGATATTTGCATACTTTGTACCTTTATTCTGAAAGCTCGCCTTTGATGTTGAAATATACCTACATTGTACCTTTATTCTGAAGGATTGTTATGATTCCCTCTCCTCTGTATCCTGGGGGTAGTTGTTTTCTACGGTACAGGTGTATGTGTCTGAAGCATTTCTCTGTACACTAGGTAAGGTAAGTGTTGTCCCAGTCTGCCTAAAAATATTTAACTGTGATCAGGCCCAGTATACGGCGGTCTGAATGGGATTTCCATGCATAAACTTAAACGCCACCATTAGATCCGTGCCTTCTGTGTGAAACATGTCTTTTATGGGCGCATTGTAAGGTGGATCTAAAAATTTCTAAATTTTAGAAATGCTCATAATTTAGACAAATCCTTCAATTATTGATACATTTTCCCCTTATATTTATATGTTTTTATATTCCTGCTCTAAATAGGATTGAGATAATTACATAATACTTGGACATTAACTGTCTGACTATGTTGTCCTTTTGCTCCAGATAGGTAAGTATTCTCTGCAGTGCAGGTATAGTTATCAGCACTCTCACGTCCTATGTTTAACAATGTCAGTACTGGTCCGTTTTCCCAAAAAGGACTGTATTTGGAGGGTTGCCAAGTGTAGTGCGACACTCTACTTTCACATTGGAGCCCTCTTCGACGGGTGATATGTCCCCCATGGGTAAAACATAATGCGGATCTAAAAGTAAAGTAAAGGGGTGCATAATGTAGAACATTAAGCTGATTTCGAAGTAAAACTTAGAGGAATATCAAAGCAAAGCATCACTTTTATTTAACTAGAAACGTAAATTGTTAATAAATATTTAATGTTTTAAAGGAAATATCAATCTTACACATGACCTTAACTTCAATCCCATACTGATCAACTCCCCTCTTTCCAGATGGAAAAAAAATATTTTGTGCTGTACATGTAAAATTATCAGTCATCCCCCTTTGTATGTTCATAATTCTGAGTATATCTCCCGCTTGTGAAGTTGGTGTCACGTGACCTAGTCCAGTAGACAATGGTTTCTGGCGGATTACCGGGGGTGTATTCACATTTTACAGTTAGATTTTTACCCTCGACTGGATTGGAATCACTGAGAGAGGAGATATTAGGAGGAACTAAAGGTAGAAGAAATTATTTTAACTAATTAAGGATATATTCTGCTGATTATTCTATAGAGTAAGTTATTCTTAACGGAATTTCTTTGTTTTAATCCAGTAAAATACTATTATATTTGCATTCTGATATTTATTTTGTGGTTTTCATAAAGAAAAATTGAACTCCAAATCATAAATTTTCCGAAAAAGATTGTTTTATTTCAGTTACTATGGAATATCTCAAGAAATCTCGTTTTCCGCCCTAATATTAAAACATTTGATCTAAGTACTAGTAATATTCTCACTGATTCATATTTGTCTACTTCGGATTCTCTTTCAAAAAGTAAATAACATTACCGTGACAAATATGAAAAGTTTAATGCCAGTTATCTTTAACCTTTAAACAATAAAAAGAAAATGTAATGATTCCTTTGTAATTACATGAAAAGGAAGAATTCGAAAACATATTACTCGGGGATTTGATTTCAAATTATTGCTATAGTGCCAATTCTTACAGAGAACAGCCCTGCATCTTCCTCTTGTATGTCGGTAATACATAAAGACAGTAGTTTGTTGGATTGAATACAACTAAATGTCCTGTTTGGCCACGCCTCCGGAGTTACATTTAACACCCAATACAAGCAATTACATAATTTTGTTTAAAACCTTTAACAACCATCTTCATGTGGTTGGCAGAACAGGAGCTTGCCAATGATACCAAAAATCGCTAGAAAACTAAGAGATACGAACCTTTTAATTTTTATTTGGCGTCAGTTTGCCGACCTTCCAGAACAGTTTTTGGTCATTTCAGCAATAAAGATTCAGGTCAGGGTATCGAGGCCTACAAAGTCTTTAATGAAAAAAGTTCCCTTTCGTCACCATTTTTCGACTTCTGAGGACATCACCTTCTGGTCCAACTGGAATTACGGAACATTTTCTTCAAAAAACCCACAGGTCGCAAGCCCTTGGGACTAGGGGGCTGAGCTTTGGTATGTGGATTCCTTAAAGTTTTCTTTCCCTCCTATGTATGAGTTTAGTACCTCTATCTCGCACCCTTTTGCACCATCAGCTGGAAAAAGAACTTAGTGCGGAAAGCACGTTTACCACGTCTCCGAGCATAACCAGATTTTGTACCACTTGAACAGCTCCTATTTACACTTTTGTACAATTTCTGCTTGTTCAGTCATTCATATCTTTAGAGAGAAAAAAGTAGTTTTGGTAACTCTTTGCAGGTACTAGGAGTACCTATTAGGGTGTGTCATTGACATAAGTGGAGTGTGCCTATTGCATGGCATTCTCGAGATCTGGGAGGTTGAAATTGTCAAAAATTCCCAATTTGTCAATTTCTCAGCATAATCTGTGGTGTAAAGAAGAAGCACTAATTGAGTTATGTTTACTTATTACTTATAGTACAAATCTGAAGCTTCAATATAGGTTCTCAGTCACATATTTTGAAGATATTGGATGACATCGTAGCTATTCATAGAATTGCATGTTATCTTACGGATTGTTGTTTACTTGTTTTTTTCATTCCCGAGTCTAAAAAGTCAAGATGAATCCCGAACGCAGATATCGCCATTTACCAAAAACAATTGCTGATTGGTCAACCGGGTGTACAAAATCCCAATATTATGTTAAAGGCCACAGCAATTGTTTTGCGTTAGGGTTGCAATTGTTTTCTTTCTGTCTTGAAATAGGTTTTTGGATGAATTTAACTTCGGTGGAATATAAGTTGTGTTGAATAGAATATAAGTTAAGTTGAATAATAAAGGAGTAAAATTAGTGCTAATCACAATACCAACAATTCATTGGAGAATCTTGACTTCAAAGACTATTTAAATGTTTCAATGAGGAACTCCCGCTGTATACTTTATGTAGAATTAGTGTAATTTCATAATAAAGGTAATATTTCCTCTAAGGTTCATATACTTCATAATAAAGAGATCTATTAATTTAACAGAATATGAGATTTCTTTTTGAGACAAGAAGCCCATGGGCCTTATAGATCATCTGAGTATCATGAAACAACCTTTTACCATTAAATGTGTTTCACGTTTTAAACCATAGGCCATGGAATTAACAATTTTAAAATAAGCAAATTTTGCACAACATAACTATACACTTGGCATGATTACTTTGGTTACTTTAGGACATATGATACAAACAATTTTTATTCCTTTGGAGGAGACTTAATATCATGTTACAAGTCTAGAAGAGTTTATAATTCTTAGAATTTTTTTTTCATAAGAACTGGAAAATGAAATAGAATTATTAGTTATATTTCAATATAATTACAAATACAGACAAAACACAATCAGTAAAGGTTTGCAGATGAAAACAAATTTCAGAATATGTTACCTTGGAGCTAAAAGTGTAATATAAACTTTAGAAAAATATACCAAACAATGATGATGCATAAAATTCCACAAAGTTTCATACACTACGTTCACCTAGACTTATTGCCTCGATATCTGGTAAAGAAAAGGCTTTTTCTTCCCGTCTATAAGCATCATAAGCATCATTTATAGTTTTCATACATTCACTTTGGGTTTTGTATGCAGAATCTGAGTCGTCATCCGGCGGAATAAAGAAGGATCGAAAAGAGAAAGATTCGTTCACTTCTGATCCTCGGTTGCTTTCAACGACATGATATGCATCTGCAGGTGCTATTGGAAATTGTCTAGTGTCTAACACTTTAGAGATACTGTCACTTCCCTTGGACATAAATATATTAGAGCAGGTCAGAACGACTTTGTTTTCCTTTACTTCTTTCGATCCGGTTTGACTTTTATTCTGAAGTAATTCCTGGTTAGAGTTGTGTATTTTCATGGCCAGGAATTCCACAAGAAAGTCTAGATTACTGGAAATGTTAAACATTAAATGTCTTGGAACAGATGTCGGATAATTTGTTTTTGATGTTTCCTTGTAGTTTGCATCGTCTAATACAGCAAAAACCACAGATTTTCCTTTTGATGATTGATTAAAGTTTTGATAGAGATCATTACATTGGATTGAATAATTTGTTAAATCATACATTGAAATAATTACTATGAAAATGTCCGAAGCAAAATTATAAACCTGAGGCATATTTTTTGGTGAGAAAGTTAAATGTTTGGACTCAATATTAAACTTAGTCCTGATAATTTTCCTCAGCATTTTGGCCGTGTCTGGGCACTGATTGGTTGTAACGATTGTCATGGAAACAGAACCATACGAACCAGTCCGAAAATATTTCATCAGTTTTTCTAAAAATTATGGAGACGATGTTAAACGAAATGTGTAAAATTATACAAAGTGGACATAAACTTTATACCATACAATTCATATAAAATTAATCTTTTTGATGAAGATCAATGTAGCTCTCTATCCTTTGTGTCGTCTCTAAGATTTTATGATTTCATAGTGAATATATTGTATTTGCTACCAACTTATTTTTTTCTTCATCAGCACGACACCTATTAGAATTCCTGCTACAGCTGCAAATCCACCACAAATTAGTGCCACTAGTAAAGGATCAATGTTAGACTTTTGTCTGGCATTCGCTGAAAAAAAGCGTATTAAAATATCATTTATTCATTGAATGTGTTTATATCTTGATTTGTGAGCTTTCAAGTAAGCTCGTATACAAATTCAAAGATTATTAACATACAAGTTCAACTTTTTATGCAATTATTAACTATCATAATTATGTATCATTTATACAATAGAAGTAAAACAAATTATCGATCCAAAAATTGATTTGAATTGTTATGTAAAGTACATTACTTGCAGTTTGATATGTATGCAGATTTATATTAATATTTTGTCAATCACTAACCTGCTGTATTCCTACCATCTTGTTTTAATGGATAGGTGAAAAGATATGATTTTTTTGCAGTACAGGTTATACATTGTTTGTGTCCAGGGACGTTTAAACTACATGGACACTGACTCCCCTTCATCATCTGAAAGATACTCACCTACAATTTAAAAAAATACTGACATTTAATGAATTTAATTTTTGAAGATACACGATGTTATGAACTACAACGCTTCACGCCGGGATATTTCATGAAGCGCGTTAGTGAATACTGATATATCACAGTGAATACTGATATATCACAGTGAATACTTATAAATCACAGTAAATACTGTTATTTCATGGTGAATACTGATATATCACAGTGAATACTGATATACATGTATCACAGTGAATACTTATAAATCACAGTAAATACTGATATATCATAGTGAATTATGATATTTCAGGGTAAATACTGATATATCAAAGTGAATCTGACATATTTCAGTGAATACTGATATATCACAGTAAATACTGAAATATCACAGTTCATTACCTAACCTACTATATAAAATATAATTAGGCATTTTGAACTGTTTCACGATTCATTTTATGTTTTTTTGTGATCATGAAACAGTCGAACTGTTGACCGGGCCACAGAATAAACTGTTGCCTGTTTAAAGCGTCATCGTGATATTCAAGCGTTTTGATGATCACGACATCACTATTTACCTGCTATATAATTAATTAAATTGGAATAAAACACACAAACAATCAATTTATTAAGTATTAATTAGAATTGTTAAATACTAATTTAATCTTTACATTCAGTGTTCAGCTAATTAATAGACTGGTATTTGGATGAACATTTGTTAAAACTCTTTATTGATTGTTTTTGTGTTCAAATTCCAATTTAGTTAATTATATAGCAGGTTAAGTAATAAATCACCTATTTAATGACTACTCGGTGAAACAGTCAATCTATTATCTCGAGGTAGTGGGGAAGACCTGGAAAACTCTTTCCGGAGACCGAAGGCCCAGGTCTTCACCACTACCGAGGTGAACTGTTTATCCAAATGCGTGTCTTATTGTCAGTAGTGTATCATAATCATTAGGCATACTATTTTGGTCACATGTAATATAATAAATTGGCTTCCCAGTAATAAAGTTATATATCATTAATGAACATTTTAAAAACATTAACAAATATTTGTTTATTATTTTAAAATGATTGTATCTTTTTGACAATATCACACTGATTTTCGAATTCGAGACAAGAAGATGTGCTTTAACATATGTACTTCTACCTGCGACGTGGTAACATCAGCGAGTTATTAAATGATCTTAAGCCTCCCGTCTATTACATTTGAGAATAAGCTAAGACTTGATTCTTCAATGAAAATATACATACCACTGCATAATATAATCCTTTTGTGACATTCCTGAATACGATGTAATTCTGGAAAGAAAAATAAGACTTCTGCAAATGATAATACCCCTTTTACATTGCTTATTTTGCCAAATTATTTAATCACCAGGTAATAAAAATTGAAGATTTAATATTGATATAACTTAACCCTATTTAATTCAAGATTTTCAATACTTCTGATACCGTATACAAATACTTCTGTCGAAAAACATTATATTCTTATTGAATGACTTTTTGCAGTGAATTATTGGATGTTCTATTCTAATTGAATGACTCTTTGCAGTGAATTATTTAGTTTTTGTTTGGCCTTATTTTGTAATTCCAATGTTTGTTAACACTTGTGGACATTAACTAATAAAAGAATGTAACATAATCCACGGACAATCCCTTTTGCCATGTTTACCGTCAATGTCTGATTTGATTCACAACAACAGCAGAATTTCTTCCGTGTTTTAAATAATACAACGAGATATTCGACTATAAAATTTGATAATCGAGAATGCAATTATCTTCCAAGTAATCACTAAAACTTTATATATGACGTGTGTTTGTTTCATTATTCTATCAAATGTATTTACCTTTTCAGTTTTATCCGCTTTTATGAGATTGTTCTTGCTATCCCATAATTCCACTGCGTACCATTTAACGTCACGACTCTTTACGTCAAATGAAATCTTCAGATAAGACGAATTACATCCGCTGGTCGTAATTTCACTTATCCAATCTTTAATATTGATATGTAAAGACATAAAAAATCTAAGAATAAATTCATAACCAAAGAAAGGAAAAGAAAACGATTATATGTGCCAACAATTTCTATGTTTGAATTAACTGTTAATTTATCAAACAAAACCACCTTCTGTAACAGCACGTACATCCAACAGCTGATGAATTTCTGGGCCTGTACTACTTCTCCCGTTGACTGACAGGGCAAGAGACGCCTGTAAAATTTCTTTCAAAAGGTAAAAGACGTCTGTACCATTTATTTGATAGGATTAAAGACGTCTGTTCCATTTATTTGATAGGATTAAAGACTCCTGTACCATTTAGTTGATAGGAATAAAGACGCCTGCACAATCAGTTGATGTGTTAAAGACGCCTGTAGCATTTATTTCATAGTAGTAAAGATGCGTGTACCATTTTCTAGTATTTAATAGGGTTAAAACGCATGTGCCATTTACATGCATCTGATAGCTTGAAGAAGGATATGGAGATAACGAACAGTATTCAATCTAAACGTCCATTAAACAATATACAAAATAAGAACAGAGCAAACACGGACCTCCGAAACATCAGAGGTGGGATCAGGTGCCATGGAGGAGTGAGCATCCCTTGTCGACCGGTCATACCCGCCGTGTGCTTGTTGTCATGATCAGGAAATAACGGAAAAAATCCGTCGTCAATTCAGTGTATAAGTAATGGACTAACAATTGGTATGAAAAACGCCAGTCAGCATTTGACTCAATGACAAATTGTATTTGCTGACAAGGTCATTGTATCGACCATAGAATTTACGAAATGATGACTTTAAACGAGACTGTTGATATTCTTGTTTCATCAACTTGCTTGTCAATAATTTACCTCGTTTAAGAAATTGTTCAGACGTAGAGCACGCTCTTGCGTATCGAATCAACTGAGATATATATACTCCGTATGCAGGTGATGAAGGTATATTGCTGCATAAGTAAGGGAAGTTGACGATAGAAAAGTTAAAGTCATCACGTTTATCATATAGCTTGGTTGTTAGATTACCATTAGTGTCTTTTTCAAGTAAAATATCCAAGTATGAAGCAGAAGTGTCGGACTCTGTGGTATCTTTTATCTCAAGCTCACCAGGATATATCGTATCGACGTAGGAATGGAAATTATCATTATTAATTAACAATACGTCGTCGATATATCTAAATGTCGAGTTGAAGGCCACAGCAAGTATTTTCTTCTTATCACGCATAAGATTTTGCATAAAATCTGCTTCATATGAATATTAAATAAAACTGCTAATAACGGAGCGCAATTTGTACCCATGGGAATTCCAATAGATTGTTGGAACACCTGGTCTCCAAAAACCACATAGATATTGTCAATCAGAAACTCCAGCATCTACTTGATGTCAACTTCAGAATACTTAAGACGCTTGTACCATTTATTTGATAGGTATAAGACGCCTGTACCATTCATTTCATAGGGAAAGTGATGTCGGTACCATTTCTTTGATAGGGTAAATGACGCCTGTTACATTTCTCTGACAAGATAAATGATGGTTCTTCCTGACGGGGTAAGAGACGCCTGTAACAACTGTCCATATTTCTTTAAACTTATGCCCATAATGTTATTTTCTACAAAGTATGGAACGACTTGTTTATTTTTAGCAATAAAGTTTTCATTCATTTTGGGCAGAGCAGTAGAATTTTTTTTGTAGCAAATCGACAAAACATCATTAAAAAATATTTTTCTTTTGTGAAAAATATTTTATCGTACTACTTAATTTTATATTTTTCTGAAACAGATATGACTTCTGCTGACTTGAGATAAACTAAAATCAAGTATGAAATTAAAACTAAAGACTTTTTGTATTAAATGAAGAAAAAGTTTAAATAACTTCAATGATAAATTAAAACAGATAATCAGTTACCGTTTGATTTGAAGAAAAAAAATAAATATAGCTTATACATTTGAAAAACAACTGAACTTTTAATTTTAGAGATTTAATTTTAACACGAAGTTAGAATAGCACACAATTATAATACCATACCAGTTGGGCTCTACATCTTGGAAATAAGGTCGATTTACATAATAATCTGTCATCGTCATCCATTATAAAGATAAAAAGATAGCCTCTTCTGTACTCTGAATACTCCCCTACAATGATTTATTCATCATCATCTATCAATACTGAATATTTTAAGTTTTATTGAACTTCTAAAATATAAATGTAAAGTATAAATTGAAAACATAAATTATAAAATTACAAATGTAGATTATAAATTGATAATGCAAATCATAAAATTATAATGTATGCATTTAAATGGACTTTTCGTTAAAAAAAACTCACTTGAAATATCTAACTTTAAGGCAGTTCTGTTATTGATAAAATCGCGAGACAAGACCTGGGCGTTTGAGCTCAACACGGTGAAGTTGTTTAATCTGTGATTCCGGCCCGTGGCTTGACTGCAAACTGATAAATATGAGTTATATAAAAATAAAAGTTTCATGAAGCTATATTAAAAAAATTGTTTGGTTGACCTTTCCCGTCCGATTGGATAAAAATGGTCAGACTCAAAGCTTCTGGAGAGTATGTTTCGAAATCATCGTTACTTTTAAATTATATGGAGAGAAAAAATCCACTTAACTACTGACGTCATTTTTCATCCTGGTTTGGAAAAGTTCAAACAAACATTTTAAAGTTTAATTGTTTTTAAAATTTAATATAATAATAGAATCCTGTCGATTTCAGGAGCCCCTTACCTTCCACCGAATATTGTTCCTCCAGGCAAGTGTCACATTGAACGTTTGATTTCTCCTATGAAATATGAAGTTATATGGGGAATAAAAAGATATAATAGGGTACAATGAAGATCAAACATTAAACTGGATATATAAAACTAGATATAGATTAATTTGATACTGGATCTATACATACACAAGATAATTACTGAGTCTCAAAGTCTGCATCAAAAGAATACAAACTTGAACCTAAACATAAATCTTTTTGTCCTGTTCTAAATTTGTATTGATTCAATGGATATAAAAACCTGTTTATTTTTTTCCATATCCCATAAAGTTAGAAAGACTAGATAAATGATAACTCTAAGTAGGTGGAGTGCTCATCAGAAATAGATATAGATGGATATATGATTTGTATTTAGAAGCATTAACATTTTAAACTCACCATCGGCTGAATTTGACATCCATCAGAAAATATGAACAGATTCATCAGAATTACACAGCCATGAAGAATAAAGCACCAATCCATTGTCGTTATGAATTACAAGTGTTACTCACCTCACTTAAATTCAGGATAAATACTGGCATGTGTTACTGTTTGTTCAATAGATCGGTAATCTAGAACAAGCTTTTCATGTCGTAATGACGTAGAACTGCTAATATATTCAAAATCCTCGGATTTCTTCCTCAAATAAAATTTATATATGATATTAAGATTACAACACCTGGTAACTCTTATTTCTTTACAAGACAGTTTTTAAAATTTGAGGAGAAAATAGTTTTGAATGGATTCTCCCAGTAAAGTTTCGTGTTTTTCTTGAATTATTATTATTCCTGATTGATTTTTTTCTTTTTCAAACATATTTTATTGAATTAATCAAAAGGATTGGGATTTCTAGAAACTATGCTAAAAATCTAGAAATAATATGATCTGTTCATGTTTGACTTGTTCACCATTGACACAAGTCAAGACGATCAGGTATGAAAAAATGGAAATTCGTCTTTACAGATGAATTTTTTTAAAATGTAAAAACTGTTACTTTTTTCTGTCGTCCATATATTTATTAATCAAATATGTATATATTTTAATACTTTACTTGAATTTCATTTCTATTAGGAGAGGAACAAGTAAGTTGTTTGAAAAAAATCTTTAACATTTTCATTCGTCATCGCCAAATGAACTATGGACTATTGATGCAGGCCGGTAGGAAGCAATTTCAGGGGGGGGGTATATATACCATAAATTTTCAACTACCAAAAATTCCTTGACAAACAAAAAAGGTCATCAGATGTTATTATTGAGGGGGCACAAGTGTTTTATTGCAGCCCGGAGGACCGGGCTGCTCTATACATATAAGTTTAAGTGTTTGTGTATGGAGATTGAGTTGGGAGAAGGTATTCAGTATTCAAGGTTTGAAAAACATTAAAAAGACTGCTAATCAGGATGTTCTTTCCCTTTATAAATTACAAGCTTTAATGTTTTAAGAAACATAATATATTTACTTCCATAAAGTGAATCTGTAAAAATAGATATGTTTTTCATATTTAATACATAAAAAATGCTTATCATTTACTATCGAAAAAACGAACTTTTATACCATGTTCTATAGCTACATGTACATTGTTCGTGTTTTACATTCCTGAAGTGAAATACATTTTAAATATAGGCAATGCATATGTCTGGTTTCAATTTATATTTTATGCAGACACCATTTAATTGAGGAAATTGATAATGTTTAAATGGGTATCGTTTTTGATCGATTTTCATCCGACTAGACCTATAATTTTTCAAAATATTCTCGACTATCGTCTCCATCATTTAGACGCATGCCTTTTTAACATATATCGAAACGGTTTTAGATGATCAAGACTCATTTTCATTGTTAAATAGTATATAGAAAGCTATTTATAAGGGTATATTTCCATTCCTATTTTTTCTCTGTGATAACTCTTTGAAAGTTAGCGAAGTTGATTTCTCGATAATTTTACCGGAAAGTAAATTAGGCAGGTCGATAGGTCAGGAGCTAAGGAGGCCTAATATGCATGCAAATCTCGTGCGCATCTGTTTCTGTGTCTAACGCTGAGTAGGCCAAATATGCATGCAAATCTCGTACAGCAGCCTTTGTGTTTGACGTCAGTGGGCGAGGACTATTGAAATCGGCATGAGAGACCGCGTGTAATTTAAATCTATGTCTACATTTTAAAAGTCTAAATCTACACTTTTATTTCACAATGAAATGGAAATATAAGGAATCACTACCTAGTTAGTATATTGTGCCAGGGGCATCATGGATAGTTGGAAACCTGGAATAAGAACTAAATATGGTATATTACATATTTTTGCCCCCTTTCAGATTTCAACAATATTTGTGATAAAAGATGGACATGGGTCTACCTTTTCAATTATAACTTCATTTTATTGTTCTGATGTCCCCGTTGCCTAGCAACGTCCATGAAAAAAATGTTGAAAGCTCTTAGATTTGATATTTAACAGCTTTGGGAATTAATAACCAACAACAATATTTTCATTTTAGCTTTAATGATCATATGTACTGTTTGAAAGTTCCTAAACATTGCATTAACAAATTTATTTTGATGGGAAAAACACCAAAGCAACCACTCAAACCCATCTAAGCAACAGATATTCTTGTTTCATCAACTTTCATCAACAACATGAAATTGTTCGTACGTACAGCATGCTCTTGTGTATCGAATCAACTGAGATATAAACACTCTTAGTGATGAAGGTGTATTGCTGCATAAGTAAGGGAAGTTGAAGATAGAAAAGTTACAGTCATTACGTTTATTATTTAGCTTGGTTGTTAGTTACCATTAACGTCTTTTTAAGAAAAGTATCCAAGTATGAAACAGATGTGTCAGACTCCCTGGTATCTTTAATTTCAAGCTTACCACGATATATTGTATCGATATTTAAATTGAAAAAAACACTAATGGTAATCTAACAACCAAACTATATGATAAACGTGATGACTTTTTTCTATTGTCAACTTCCCTTACTTATGCAGCAATATACCTTCATCACCTGCATACGGAGTTTATATATCTCAGTTGATTCGATACGCAAGAGCATGCTCTACGTATGCACAATTTCAAAAACGAGTTAAATTATTGACAAGCAAATTGAAGAAACAAGAATATCAGCAGTCTCGTTTAAAGTTTCATTTCGTAAGTTCTATGGTCGATACAATGACCTTGTCAGCAAATACAATTTATCATTGAGTCAAATGCTGATTGACGTTTTTCATACCAATTGTTAGTCCATTATTTATACACTGAATTGACGACGGATTTTTCCCCGTTATATCCTGATCATGACAAGGAGCACACGGCGGGTGTGACCGGTCGGAAGGGGATGCTCACTCGACCATGGCACCTGATCCCACCTCTGATGTTTCGGGGGTCCGTGTTTGCTCAGCTCTTATTTTGTATTGTTTCATGGACTTTGAGATTGAATACTGTTCGTTATGTCCATATCCTTCATCGACGTAGGAATGGAAATTGCTATTGTTAATTGACAATACGTCGTCGATATATCTAAATGTCGAGTTGAATGCCACAGCAAGTGTTTTCTTCTTTTCATGCATAAGATTTTGCACAAATTCTGCTTCATATGAAAACAAAAATAGGTCTGCTAATAACGGAGCGCAATTGGCACCCATGGGAATTCAAATAGATTGTTTGAAGACCTGGTCTCCGAAAACCACATAGATATTGTCAATCAGAAACACAATCATCTTTTTATGTCAACTTCAGAGTACTAGTGTGTGCAATCAGAATGTGTTTTAATAAAATGATTTTGCAAATGACCAATGCCCAGGTAAGTAAATTTATGAGTTCCATTCTTAAAAAAGCAGCTGACAATGATATCATAAATCCTGGACTTTAATTTATCGTGGGGAATGGTTGTGTATAGAGTTGAAAAGTCGTAAATTTTTAAGCTGTTGATTTTGGTAAAATCTTGTGATCGTCCAAAAGTTTTGGGAATTTTTGAGTATCTATATCTGATTCACACCACGTCTTGAATATATTGTTGCTATATTATTGCACAATACTCTTGCAGTTTTTCCCTCACTAGTTCAATTTCTTAGTGAGGAGTAACGAAATGGCTTGGTTGAACATTTACTGGAACCCGCAATGTATCTTTGTTAGGACTTTTATGCAGTTTAGAAATCCAGTATATATAAGATAGGTCAAATTCATTTTGGCTCTGTCGGATTTTAAACATATTCAAATCTGACATATGATTTTGAAGAATTTCTTCCTTAGAAATGGAAGTATAAGTATAAGTAGGATTACCACTGGTAGAATTCAATCCAAGTTCTTCTAAAATACAATTTAAATAATGAGCCTTACATTTGAAGACGCTGTTATATGCTTTGTCGACAGGAACCAGTACATACTGATCATGTAATCTATCTAATTCTTTTTTCACTTCTTGATTATTGAACACAGAAGGATAAATGGTTTTTATATTGCTCCTCAATCTTTTAATACGCGATCTTAACATGGATCTGATACGTGTAATCCATTCTGACAAAGTGTCAACGTCTTCTTTTTTATATCTGGCTCATCGTTTTGAAAGAGAATAAATTGAAGTCGGCATAAATACTCTCAACACATACAAAATTAACGTAATTAGATAAAGGGTCGTACAACTTATATCTGTTTACTTGAACCACGTGGATTCTAAAATGACACTAACCTACACTGTAGGGTTTACGATGATAATTGAAATATGAGGAAAAAGCACTTCTCAAAGCAAAATAGCATAACTCTTCCATAATTAATCGTTAAAATTTTAGTCTGCATTCAGACGAGTTTAACAGAATTAAGTACAAATGTTGACGTTTTGTGTATTGGGGTCCAGGAATGAAAAATCCACCAAAGCATATGTTAATACAGCAAAATATAAAACAAAATATTTTTCTGCAGTTCCATTACAATTTGCATTTCAAATGGCAATTATTTTATATATCATTGGTGCATTTGTATGTTGAATTAACATTTATTCTTTCTTTCAAAGCCACGGAGGTACGAGAAATGATAGGTTGTATCAACAAACCCATGGAGTAGATCCTTCGCCAGCCACGCGTCTTCATCTCCAAACTATTTTTTTCATTATGAAAGTTGCTTTTCAAGCCCCATGTTCAGTTTCTCTTTTTTTGGTCTACTTTGTCAATGTAGTAGGCCTACTGGGCTTCCTTCTCTTACCATGCTGTTTTGTTTATGAAACTACGCATGCGTGCATAGCATGGATTGTCGAAAACGAACAAGTTGCGATGTAAATATTTATTGGCCATAAATAATTATTAATTAATTCTAATGAAATAATCAGAATTATTTACTTATGAATTTGTATTTTTCTAAAGTGTATACATTTATGAGTAGTAAAAAAAAATCCAAATCCTATCAGAATTTTTTTTCAAGCCTGTTTTTTGATGAGATGCGCCGTATAGTCACTTTAAATCTGCTAAAACATGCATGTTTTTAAAAGTTTATGTTATGTCTTCCACTTGGGAAATACATCACACTCTAATCACAAACATTCCGATGTAATATGTAGCATAAAAGCAAAGGCCCAACAATTAATATGAAACACGTCACCAAAAATACATAAAGGATATCGTAGTTGAATATTGAATGAATTCACGAGTGGGACAAATTTCGCACGAATGAAATTAATTACAAATCTAAATACAAAACATTGAATTTTATTTAAACTACATTTTTCGTTTGATTTTCCTTTTCCTTTGCCTTTTCTTTGCACATTGTCGTAGACTGTGATGTCACAGTAAAGTTGTTTAGACGTCCATTGCAATACAATTTTGTAAGATTGAAAAATAAATTGCACAACAAAATGATCAATTTAAACAAGAATGCTGATTTTCCTGTTTCAGCAACTTGTTTGTCAATAACTTACTTGAAAAAAGACGTTAATGGTAATTTAACAATCAAGCTTTATGATAAACGTGATGACTTTAACTTTTTATTTGTCGACTTTCCTTACTTATGCAGCAATATATCTTCATCACTTGTATACAGGGTTTATATCTGTCAGTTGCTTCAATAAGCAAGAGCATGGACTACGTAAACATATTTTAAAAAGAGGTAAGTTATTGACAAACAAGTTGCTGAAACAGGAATATCAGCATTTTCGTTTAAAGTGATCATTTTGTAAATTCTATGGTCGACACAATGATCTTGTCAGCAAGTGCAATTAATCATTAAGCAAAATGCTGACTGACGTTTTTCATACGAAGTTTTACTAATCCAGTTAAGCATAGAGATTCACGTCGAGATACTTTTGACTTCGCGCCGCGTAACCTCTAGTATCCATTATAAAAGTTCTCGCCGCTGAAACCCAAAGTGGAAATAAATTATTCAAATAAAACTTCATGCTTTAAATATTAACAAATATATGAAGAAAAATTGAAAGTTTAATTTTTTGTCAGTGTTTCTTTCTGATTTTTCTTTTAGATTATGTAATGTTAGAGTAGCTACTCTCATCACCTGCAATGAGAAAATGACAAAATTATGCACATACAATTCAAAAACAATATTGCCTTTGGCTACATAATTATGAATAAGGAGCTTGAAAATTATTTTAATTGTTTAATTTAAATAATGATGCATTTTGTCCACTTTGCATGAAGAAGGATGAATCATAAATTTGTGACTAGGGCATAAAAACTGATTCCTGGACATTTCAGAGGTGGGATCAGGTTCCTCTTTACAAGTCATATCCGCCATAAGCCTAATGTATTGATCAAGAAAAAGAACACATTGTAGTCAAATTAAAAGCAATAGAAGAGGTCTAACTATAGATATGAAACAGGTCAGCCGAAACATAACCCAGTGGTAAGCTATGTTACTCCTCCAGGGAACTTCACCTTATCTTTGTAATGTCCAGGGGTCCGTGTTGTATTCCATCTTCACACTGTTCTTATACTTTATAAACATCGATCACTGCTCGTTATCTTCCCCTTTTTATTGTTTAATATAACGGTCAAAGACTTTAAACGATGTTGTTGAAATCCCCGTAATACCAACTTATGTGTGAGTAGTTTGCCTCGGTTAAAAAATTGATCATACTCAGAGTATGCTCTTTGAATCAAAGGAAAAAATGAATGTCTATTCTTTATTTAAAAAAATATGTATAGACAGTCTTGTTAATATTATTTTCAATTTTCTACTTTTTACTTGTGATCTGGAAAAGATTTGTTGTATTTTCTCATGAGAACTATAAAAATATTATCCCTTATTACTGTAATAGTAACAAGACTAGTACTTACCCTGAGTATTGACTGTTTCAGTCTTCTTATCAACATCTGACACATCAATTAATTCCAGGTATTGCACTCTAAAAAAATGATTAAATTTAGCTAAAATACGCTTTAATAAGCCTTATTATACTTCAATGACCCCTATATATAAAAATTCAGAGAAATATGCATGGATTATTTAAACGCACTGCTGCATCGTAATATGATCAATACATGCAATAGATTTCCAAATTGTTAAGGTATTTACAACTTTGATAATTTTTCATAAATACCTATTTTCTGCTTTATTGGAGTCTGAAATGAAGCAAAGTAATTATACATTGTTAAAGAACAAACTAGCTATACTACATTGAAAAATTTGCTTCTTTGTTCGTGACATTTCATAATTATATTACCTTTTATCTTTTCATAAACATTTGTATCAGTTGTTTCTAAAAGAAACGAAGAAAAAATAATTGAAAGAAAAAGTAATATCAGCATATTCCGATGAAATTCAGATAGATATCAAACAAAAGTATTGATATTTATTTGAAAGACATACATATTCAGAAGTACATTGAAATATATTCTACTCTTTTTATATCAGTTGTGCAATAGACGTCAGATATTAACCTTTTTCAAAAAAGGGTAAATATTTGACATTCTTCATCATACAGTGAACTTTTTACAAAGATTATCTAATCAAGCAATACCTGTTTTTGAAATTCCCTGGTAATGGTGATCTTCATCGGAGATAATTACATTTGTTCTGTGTTCACTTTAAAAAAGTAAGTATAGCCATTACTTATCACTTATCAATTGAAGTCAAGGGAACCTTAGAAAATTTGAAAACACTTAATATTTTTCCAAGGAATAAGAATTGAAAGAATGTTATCAGACATATTAAAAAACAGACATTTTAACTGATCTTTATTTATTCAAAACTATCCCACTCTATTATCTTTTTTTAAATCATCACGTTTTGATTACTGTTTTAGGAATAAGACATGAAATAACAATTCTTCATGGAATTAAAAGACTTCTTAAATTATTACCTGCCCAGGGTCTCTTTATTTCTGTCTATAATAGGAAATACACTTTACACTGTCATATATATTTAACAATAACAGCATTTTTAACGATATTCAATGGATATCAAATAAATTAAAAATAATATCATCTATTTTATGCATATAAAATCAGATGACTTTATTTTACGGGAATAGGTATCAATTTTTGGTCGGGATCGGCTGCGGCCTTGGGTATTATATCAATCTCTCACCAGAGGGCGCGCTCCGCTTACACCTCTGTTGTCGTCTAAAAAGTAGCGCGGATTGTCAAATAATTATTTGTCGACAAAAATTGTATAAACATTGATTGTTTTGTATGATTTCTCAATGATGTTACGTGTTTTAAGCTCTTTGGTAGTAAATATTTCCTGACTTTGTCTCCTTGGTTTCAAAATAAAAATATGTGTAAAAATTCAGAACAAAATAGTGCCGTATATATTGAAGCTATTTTAATATATATCCAAATTTTGAAAGAACAAAAGAAGTACTATAGATTGATATTTCTAATTTCATTTAAAAAAATTACCAAGTTGGTAGAAATCTATAATTTATTTTCGTTTTACAAGATTCTTGTAATTTAGACAATAACAGAGGTGTTGGAGTGGACGCGTAAAACGCCCTCTGGTGAGAGATTGGTATTATATAAGTCGGAAAGCTCGGGCTCAACATTCTTTTCATCAACTTGCTGGATACAGAGTAGGTTGAATATTTCTTTGTCAAGTTTTTTCATAATATTTGTAAGAAATTTTTTGCATCGGTCATAAATATATTTAGATTTTGGTTAATGGATAATAAAGTTGTATTTTCTTAATGTTATTCTAATTCAGCGTATATATTTTCTCTGGATTGTGCTGAATTAACAGCCAGATTAAATGTGACACAACTGCCATTATGAATATATTGTTTCTATTTTTGCCCATAGCATATTCAACCAAAAAAGTTTGTCTCTAGTGAATTACAGTTAGTAATTTTTTGTTTGTTATTTACTTTAACGAGCGGCAATGCCTACCAAAAATAAGAATAACAGGAACGCAGACTGAGTGACAACGAGGGGAAAGCATCAAGGTCAAAAAGGTCAAGGCAAAAGCGACCAGCGGTAGCGGTTGACGATAATCCTTTGTTTGTTATTTACTCTAACGAGCGGCAATGCCTACCAAAAATAAGAATAAGAGGAACGCAGACTGAGTGACAATGAGGGGAAAGCATCAAGGTCAAAAAGGTCAAGGCAAAAGCGACCAGCGGTAGCGGTTGACAATAATCCTACAGTACAGGAACCAGGTCTTTCAGGAAGCATCGCCGCCCACAGAGAATATAGTTGGTGCCAGAAATTCAAACTCTCCCCCAGCACCTGTGCCTGCTTTGGCCATTGAATCTCAATCAGGTACAAGCATTGGTTATGAGAATCAATATGTAGATAGCATTCATTCACTATTGGCTAGCAATGTCTCTAACTCGTTGAAGTCTAAATCATTAGTTCAGCATACATAGAGATTAATTTGTTGTTTGATAACATTTCCCTAACAGAATCTTCAAAAAAAAAATTAATGAAAAAGGGGAGTTGGTCACCAGAGAGGTTGTTCAACCTAGCAATAAGATTCAAAATATCAATAAATGGACAGATGCATTCTTAGTTTACGCTAGCATTTATGCTTCAGCCCACCCAGAATCTTATCAGGGTTTGCTGAAATATTTACATGACATAAGACTCGGGGTATCAAGATGTGGAGAAGGGGATTTGGAATGGAAGAAATATGACGAGCAGTTTCGACTTCGCCGCAGAATCGATCCCACCGTAGATTGGTCTAAAGTAGACTATGAGTTATGGTTGATGTTAATGTCATCATCCCCACAATCTAAACTAACAATTAAACCAAACAGCTCAGCCTACAACAAGTGCTATAATTTCAACTTCAAGGGTCATTGTGACAGACCTTCTTGCCAGTACATGCACAAGTGTATTAAATGTTCTGGGAGTCATCCACAATATGTTTGCCCTCAATCTAATTATGTTGGTAAGTCCACAAGTTACCCAAGGGTACCACTGCAGCGGCATCCCTAAGTTAGACCCCTTATGTCACACCCAAACCAAACCCCAAGACCACAAAGGTATATGGGCCCTAGGAAATTCCCCTATTAATGTTGAAAAGTTAAATGAATATTTGCAACTATATCCAGACAAATATGCTGCTAATTATATAAAATATGGGTTTTTAAAGGGTTTTGAAATAAATTATAGAGGCTCAAGGTGTTAGTGTTTTCAAAAAATCTTAAGTCTGCAATTGAACACCATGATGAGTTGATGGAGAAGATAAATAAGGAAATAAAGCTTGGCCGAATCATGGGCCCTTTTGATCAACTTTCAATTTCTAACCTCCACATTTCGCCAGTTGGCATTGTCCCTAAATCTGATGAAGGGTGGCGAATGATTACCCATTTATCCTATCCTAGTTCCCAGGGGATCAACGACTTTATAGACCCAGATTTATGTACAGTGCAGTATGCATCTTTTGATAGTGTAGTCAATATGATCGCAAATTTGGGAAGGGGCGAATTGTTGTTCACTTTGTTGCTTATCTGTCACCTAAGAAGTGTTCCTATGCTAAGGCTAAATCTTATCTATCTTCTATTAGTTTTCAATGCCAAATCCATAATTGGGTTGATAAAACAAAGAACGTTTTGTTTGTAAAGGTTCTTGAGGGTATGAGAAGAAGGTATGTCTGCAGATGCAAGGCTACCTATAACCTTGCAGTTGCTTACTAAAGTTGTTAGGGTTTTACCGTGCATTTGTAGTGATAGTTATGAAACAAAATGGTTCAGAGCTGCTTATTTATTAGCCTTCTTTGGTTTTCTCAGAAAAGGAGAATTCACATTGTCTACTGGTAATAGTTTTCATACAATTTTACAAGTGACTGATGTTCAATTTCAAGCTAATGACTCCAAGGTTTTTGTACACATAAGAATGTCAAAATGTGAGCAGGATAGAAAGGGGGTTTCTTTAGCTATTGTTAAAAGTGAGGGAATCCTGTGTCCAGTAGCAAGTTTGATAGATTATCTTGCAGTAAGACCAAAAATTAAAAGGCCATTATTTATCCACTATGGAAAAATCCCCTTACCAGGTAGCATTTCTCTTTAGTTTTGGAAAAATCACTTCAAGTTTTGGGGTTTCAGGCGCATTATAGGGCCCATTCATTTCGTATCGGTGCACCCACTGCAACATTTGAATCGGGTTGCTCACAAATCTTGAATTGGATAGATTGAAAATAAATATCTGGTGGCAGGGATATTCAGGTTTGAATGTTTTGGGGCTTAAAAGAAAGCTTTTATTTTTTCCGACAGAATACGAGGAATCCCCTGACTTTTTGGCTATTCACTGTGGCGCAAACAATATAGGGTCAATTGATCTGTATACTCTCATTGAGAAAATTAAATCCCATCTAAAGATTATTAAGACTCACTTTCCACATTCTACTTGTTTGGTCACAGATGCTGCCACGAAATAAATGGAGGTACTCGGGGGACAATAAAGCAATGGAGCGATCCTGTCTTAAGGCCAATAAGGTAGGTGCTTCATTAGTTTTAGAGTTGGGGTTGTTACATAAAGTACTCTGATTTATTGAAAAACATGTCACAATTTCTGTTGCCAGATGGAGTACAGCTCAATGACCTAGGAAATAAACTCTCTTTATAATATCCAAGGGGGGGGGGGGCTAGAATTTAAAACAAGGCAATGTGTATCCTTGAACAAAACATAAAGAACATTGGTCCGTGGGGACTCTTTTGTCAGTTGCTTGGGTGCTCCCCCATGTGTGGTATGACTGCGAACTCTCCTTTGGTTGTTCGCTGTCATGTGGCGTTTTGCACACACCAAAGCAACTGAGGCCTACATAAACTTTGTATTGTTGTGAAGTTTTCACCATTGAACTGTGAAGGGGGTTGAAGTGTTGAACCATTTTATATGCAAAATATTTGCTGATATGTTGATATGATTTGTTTTGTGCTTGAATTGTGCATATAACTAATTTCACTTAAATAAGTAACCTTAAATAAGTAACCAACCAGGGTGGTCATTTTTGAACATGTGACTTGTTTGTGTTGATGAATTTTGTTGAATTTATGTGGATTTGCCCAAAAGTTGTGTGTATTACTTGGCATCCCACAAATACTATACCACAGCCAACGTTCGCCAAAAAAGGTTAAAACAAACATCTTGTTGTCATTTCCCTGTATAAATAATGCATTTTTCACTAATCCATGTTAAATATTACTTAAGTATCTTTTTCCCTGATGTCAAAATTATGTTTTCACCTTTTTCAATAAAAAACAAAGTTCGAAAAACAACAGGTAACTTACCTTTACTTCTCATAGGATATATATTTGATATTAATTACAACATTTATTTATCTGAATATTTACGAATCTAATAGAAGACAATTACAATCAAGTCTTTTTGTTATCTTGACTTTTTCATTAATAAACAAAATTGTGAAAAAATGCAGGGACTAACCTTCATTTTTTCTTTCTTTTCTGCATTTGCATAAAGCATAGGCAACGATCAGCAGAATAGTGGTAAATACAGCGCCACCTAACGTCCCTCCAATTATCTGCTCTGTAGGACATCCCTTACTTGTATCTAAGGAAAAAATCTGCTATTAATATGTTTACTAATTCCAAACTTACAGAAAGAGGATCAATGTACATACCCTCCATCCTTTCTGGGTCTGTTACACATGAGTGGTTATTGGACAGAGCGATGCCGTAGTGGTTTGAGGTCAAAACTCTAAATATATATACCGATCCAGGCTTCAGGTTGGTAACTTTATACGTGTTTATTTCTATATCATCTGTTATATTCATTTTTTCAAAAGATGCATTTACAAACAAGTTTTTATTTTCGCTGAGCTGAAGAGTATGGTGTATGTTACCAATAGAGTTTGTGAAGGGCGACGTCCATAAAATGTAGGCTTCTGTAGACCTACAATCAACATGTACCAATACCGACGCAAGTGGTGTATCTAGAATGAAACAAAGATATGGATTGTTTGATTTATATCATTATCATTCTTTTCCTGAATAACTTTAGTGTTCTGAATTAAAAGGTACAATATTGAAAGCTAAATATTCAATGTATTCACAGGAATTGAGACAAATGTCAAACATTATTATTAAAAGGTGTAATGTATAGGCGTTTGTTTCTTCGGCAGAATTGTAACACTCACATTGTACAGTTACATCAACAGAACCACTGGAGTTCCCAACAGAGTTTGAAGCTGTACAGGTATATGTACCCCCATCCTCAATGGTGGCGGTCTGTATAACGTAAAGTTGACCTGTGGTCACTACAGTGGAATTATTAGAATTTATCTTAGTCCAGCTGTACTTAGCATGGTCTTCTGGATTTTCAGTATAACAGTATATCCAAACATTGCTTTGCTCAGTTACTACCCTCAACATACTGCCTGGTAAGATTTTTACATCTGAAATATCTAAAATAGTCATAAAATTTTAGCGATCTCAAGAACATCCTTTAAATCCTTTCATTAGGAAAAATCTAAAATAAGAAAGATGTCACAGTCATAAGTATACACATCATTTGAGATTAAATCTGGTTTATAATACAAAGGATTTGCTTAAACATTCTGTTGTTGCTTTTGTTTTTAATTTTTGAAGCTGTTAGCATGAAACACGAGAAAAAGGCCATTTTCTAAAATATTTATAGCATTACTGATAATTAGCTTTTGTCATCCTTAATCTTCATAAATTCATTTTAAAAAAGACTACAGATTTCAAGATAACATCTACCTACAGAAACTTATTAAATCTTAAAATAAATATTAATTAACATCACCACTACTCTTATTTTTCATTTGAACAGAATATAAAAATCAGTTCAACAATGAAAAATTGTCAGCCCTTTAAATTAACAAGGTAATAGAAGAATGGAAAATGGCACCATCTCCCATTTTTTTCCTATTTTCTTTTCTTGGAAATGCATTGACAGAATCTTTACAAGAATCGAATAAAGAGAAAAGTTTGTTCCCATTATTTTATTTTAGTGGTAAGTTATGTATTGTAAAATGATTTTGGCTTATTTGATTTTTTTTAAATAAAACTATTAAATGAAATAATTATGAAAATTAAAGAAACTCAACTAATATGATTCTAGTACACACATTTCACGTCTATGGTATATCTGTTGGATTCTACACTACGTCCCTGAGTGTTGCTCGCTATACAATACACTTGTTGACCATTATCTCCTATCACGCCAGTAAACCGCAATACTGAGGTCGTTCTCACCAGGTCTTCTTGATTTTTATCTTCTGTGGGCGTGGCCTGACTGGTGACGTCAGAAGTTGCTTTAAACCACGTGATCTTGGCTGATGGGTTACAGTAGTCTGTTTGACAGGTTAGAGTTATCGTCTCACCTCTGTTGACTGTTAATTGAGACGGGGTCAAGACCAAACCAGACACAGGTACTGTAAATATAAATTCTTATAAAAGATTCCTTTCAAAAACAGTAAAAGTCAAATATCGTGATTAAATATGAAACAATAATAAAACGAGCTAATAAGCAATACATAAAGGGACATGTCTTTGCTTTTATGAAAAAGCCCAGAATTGTTTAAAGCTCATTAAAATTCAGAAAACTTAAGAAATAAAGATCTAGAGTGTAAAACTATTTGACAATCTGTTAATTGAAGGAAAGTGTATTTCTTAAAACAATGTTGAAACATGTCAAGTGTATAAAAAGAGTATGTCATCATTACTGCTCATCTCGTTTATTGTCAAGCAGATGTTTCTAGACATCACTGCTAATCTGGTTTACATTACCAACATAACAAAATTTTAAGCCATAGGAGATTGAAGCTTCAGATCGTCTTTACACTCCAATGAATTAATTTGATGACCACAATTCAACGTATACGTGAAGAAAACATACGGTATTTTTGAGCCACTTGTTATTAGGATTAGAGGAACTGAATACATAACAAACTAATACATTGTCATAGTAATGATGTTTTTTTTTTTCTTTTTAACTACCATGTATTTCTAATTCATAAAAAATGTCTTCGATTTAATGCTTTGAGATTATAAGTTATTTTTTAAAATTCGTTTGGATAAATTAAAAAAAATTCCACTTTATCTCATACGTGTGGGCGATACAGGTCGTTGGATAAACTTGTGCTTTATCAACGGGTAGATGCTTTATCAATAGCACTTCCGGTTTTGACACGATCCCTCGCTTCAAAATTTTATTTGAAACTTTTATTTGTGATCCCTATTATTGCCCTAATAAAATGAATGATAAAGAGCGATAATATCGTTAAAAGCCAGAAAAAGGCTCGTATATGTCAAAGAAGTGTCTTATTTTATCAAGGAACCTGTATTGGCTACTTAAAAAATAGTTACCCCCCCCCCCCCAGTTTAAATCGTTTTCATTTCAAAGTAAAACCTAGCAGTTAAGTTTTATTTTTATAAGATTCCTTTAACATCTCCAAAAATGCTTTCTTATATTATACTACGTATGCCTACCTAGTAACATAATTGTAACTTACCATGGATCAACAATGAATCTACCAGTAGGCCCCATAGCCTTGCCTATCACGTTAATAAAACAAATTTTGTACTGCCATCGTCCAAACGAGTTCATTTTCATGATCCAATGGTCCTTACAACTTTAGTCATAATTCCGTTGGATGTAAAGCTCCAGCAATTGTCACATTATGTTTTCAAAGACACAGATAGCAAAAATTCTAAATTTTTAACAAGATTATGTTTCTTTTTAATGTCAACATCAACGGTGCTACGTCATCAAGTTGTACGTCATCAATTTGAATTTAGCAATCATTCATGTAGTTTCACAGGGAAAGTTCAAAGTTTTGTTAAAATGAAAGTCGTTATGAGATTATCTTGAATATGTTCAACATTTCTATAATTGTTGTGATTTGATATTGGCTTTATCCAACTTTTTGAAATGGTGTATATTGCCGGTCGGCAAGCCTCGCAATATATACACCATTTCAACTCATTGGATAAACTTTATATCAAATCACACAATATAGATATCCTCTATTTATCATATCATCTTCACATATATATACTCTTAAGTAAATTCTGAACTTGAAATAAAAAAATCGGTGTTTTTTCACATGTAGATTTCATATTATGTTCCTTTAAATTGTCTTATTATGTTCACTTGTGACATTAATGATTATGGTATTGCTTTGTACGGATGGCGGTTCACAATACATGGTTATTTTGTGCCAAGAAGAATCAACAGTTAATGATATCCTGTAGGTCTGGTTGTTTGGACACTCTAATGAAGCAAATAACTGACATCCTGTACACGAAGAATATTCAAACATACAAAATCTTTTTCCATAACTGAAGGCAGCTCCCGGTTGACCATTTGCGTAGAAACATTCAAGAGATATTGTCTGGTTGAGAATAACATCAGATGCCGGTATTACTGACAATGTTGCTAATCCTAAAATAGATGATGAAAATATACACGACGTTTTATGCGTAAGGAATGAAGAATTAATGAGAGAGCAAGGTGAACAAAACTGGAAGCAAAATCTTATAAATCAAAATAACATATTGATCTTTACATGCATTGTCTTGTTATTAGACAGTGGTGTAATGGAAATAAAAAAATGTTCTTACAAATGTCGATGCACAAATCACTTTTCTATTTGTCTCAATAAATTATTATAGGAATCGTCAATTTCAATGGCGTATTGGCGTATTGGCGTATTAGTATTGTTTCTCAATACGATTTAAAGTGAAATATTCAAGTGCTTCCCTATTCTATCATTATTATGTTCATTACTTTGTACATTATCTTGATTATGTTTTTTACTTCGTACATTATCTAGATTATGTTCATTACTTTGTACTTGGATTATTGTACTGGTGTTCCATCCCTCCTGTCCTACTTGCCGACTGCAGTAGACTTCCTGGTTGTGAATGGGCTTTAACAGTGTCAGATTAAACAACCAAGGATCTCCAAAACTACACTCTATAAACGCCAATTGAGTTTCATTTGAACATGCTTTGAATGACCCACCACCGATACCAAATATGATACGGTTCCCCTTGTTGTCCAATGTAAAGAACATATAAATTCCACCTGAATCTGTGGAGTGACAAGTCAGCGCTAAAGATTGTCCCTCCTTCACAGTGGCAGGTGATTTGGGGGTAATTATAAGTTTTGGACCTTACAAAAAAAAGAAGTAATGTATTTGGTGACAGTTATGTAGAAATAAATTAAACAAGTGTTTGTAAGATGCTATAGAGTAACAAAACATATAGTAATATATTTAGTTTTGGCAAGCATGTAATTAAAAGAGAAATGGTTTTTAAAGATTTATTTCGGTAATTTGATATGAACATAGTTCTGTTTAGTATTGGAAAAGTTAATTGGCACATATACTTTTAACAATTATATACATGTAGTAGAATTGTGTTTTTTTAAATATGTAACTTACTCGTTATTATGAGAGTTCTGTTATCTATTGGAACTGATAAAAGCGTGTAAGTAAATATCCCTTCATCCTCCTTACTAGCGTTGGTGATGCATACAGAAACATGTGAAGTATTTGATTGACAGGAAAAAGATCTATTCCAGGCACCTTTAAGCATAAGACCTATTTCTATACTTCCACTAAACTGCATGCAGAGTACTCTCTCCTCTCGTAATATATCTCTATCAGTTGTTCTTATTTCGGCTTGGGGAAATGAAATACAACCTTCTCCCCCTTTTTCTATATACACTAAAGGCGAGGATCTGTCTGTAGGAAAATAAAAAAAAAACATTTTGAAAAATGTGAAGCCATATATTTAAGGCTCCATTTATCCACAGATGAACATGTCATATTTCTATCACTGTTGCTTTTCCTCCTGTATAAAAATGAGGATATCTTTTAAATAATGTATGTTTACCCTCTCCCGACTAAAGGTAAAACTTTTGGATCGGTAGGTAGGTGGGAAAATCTTTTCCCGGAAAATTTCAACATATTTGCGGACGGGATAAGAATAATAAAACGAAAAAACATCGTGTTCTGGGATGTAAAAAAAATCAAGTTTTGAGTCAAGGCATTCTAAGATGACTAGATTATTGAAATTTATTGATATCCACAAACAGAAAGTAAAAGGGTACAAATAAATCAATACTTCTAAAATCACTGAAGGTCTGCATGAAATGATTAATAGAAATAAATGAAATACATGTAACGTACTCACTGAAACAAAAGAAAACAAACAATACCCAAAATTGAACAAAGTGAAAATATCTAACGTCCATTGTTTAATATTTTATATTTCTTCCTGGTTTATCTATACTTATAAAATTAATCAATTTTGCAAAAAAAGCCCCGAAACGGCTGCCTACAAGAGTTCTTACTTAATCCTTTAGGAATATATTAGGTATTCATAAGATGATGTCCGTAAATTATAATTAGATTTCACTCTCATAGTAATTACGCTAAATTGAATTAAAAGTCTACTTTCATTTTCGGTTAAAAGCCTCGAAATAGCCCACAAGAGAAAAGGGTGGTGGTTCTGGTTGGCGGATCTACGTTGCTGGCATTTTTAAATGAAACTGACAACAAGCAATGTTTAATTATTTCATAAAACATCATTCATGAATTATACAATCACAACCTCATTTAAGGATAAATAACTATATACCCTCTCACTTTTGAAGCGGGAGGATATAATAAATTTCGATTAGTGGCGTTGGTTATTGTTTTACATTAAAAGTACAATATACAGCTAAACTTTAAAATTTCGAACACAGATATCTCGAATACCACGGATATGCCGAAGTAATGCTGCGGTCCCGACGAAAATTTGCTCCATAAATGATTAATCAAAATAAACCCCTATATGTCGAACGCGGTGGTGTGGAATACCACGGTTATCTCTAATCGAATTATATACCCATTTATGAACATCACATTGTACTATCTCGAAGTCCCAATAATTTTCCGCTCTGATGATAAAGTCCATTAGGTAAACTGAAACGCTTCATTGATAACACCCACCTGCCTGTCACGCACGGGTTACCTGTGTTCCTGTGATCAGCAGATAACAGCTCAATAATTATACGAGGTGTAACTCTAGCTTAAATTGATTTTAATTATGCAGGCCAAGTAATTATAATAAAACCAATCAATCAATCATTTATTTGAATCTCATCACCATTTTACAATAGCGTACAGAGACTACAAAAAACATATAGGTGATTTTATATACAACAATAGGTCTAGAAAGGCATGCGTGAGTAAGAAACTTAACAAAAACAAAAAAATTGTAGGTTACTATAAATGTGAAGTATGGGAATTAAGGCCGGGGAGCATATTTTATTTATTTTCTTTACAAAGGAGCACAATTTTCTTAGAAAGCAGTGTTTATTGTTGTTCATAATGTTTTTAAAACTAATTATATTCTGGAATTTTATGTGTTTTTCTGTTAAGCAAAGTTTTCTTTCTGTTTGTAGCGAGTTGCACTTTAAAATGTAATGAAACTCATCTCCGAGTTCTTTTAGATTACAATGGGGACAAATTCTATCTTGTCTTGGTATATTAAGCCAGCGTCCACTTTCAATTGGTAAATGATGATTACACGTTCGAAATCTACAAAATGTTATTAAGTCCTTTTTTGATAAAATATTAAAATAGTTTTCAAATTTTAGTTCGTCTTTGTATATTCTATAATTTAAAGCTTTGGGTGAGGTTTGAAGGATTGATTGCCAACTTTGTTTGAATTGATCCAATAATGTGAGTTTAACTTTCGCCTTTAACCATTTAATATTAATTGGGTTTTGTTCAAGCCATACATTTGAGAGTCCACAGTTATTTAAGATATTTCTAATATTTTCAAGCCAAACAATTTTCCCTCCTATTTCTTGATTTATAATGAAGCCTAATTTATAACATAAATTTGCAATTTTAATTTCCTTTCCAGTGATTAATTTTGACCAATAAGATATCATGCGCGTTTTTATTTGTATTTCCATGGGGTGTCGGCCAAGTTCGCCATATATCATAAAATCTGGGGTTGAATCTTTTAAATGGAGTAGAAGTTTACAAAATTTTAGGTGAACCCTTTCTATTATTACATTATTTGAAAATCCCCAAACTTCACATCCATATAACAAAATAGGTTGCACAATTTTATCAAATAGATCTAGCTGACACTGTATTGATAGGTTATGTAATCTTCCTTTTTTTAATACTTCGTATAGTGCTTTTGTTGCCTTTTCAGCTATTTTCTTTTTTGCCGTTTTAAATGAGCCAGATTTACATAATATAACTCCCAAATAGTTAAATTCTGTTACTACATCTATTTTCTTATCATCATACTGCATCTGTATATTTTCTTCACGTCTACTTTTACTGAATATTAATATTTTTGATTTGTCGATATTTATCTTTAAATTCCATTTTTTACAATATTTACAGAAGCTATCTAGTTGTTTTCGTAGCTCTTCAGAAGATTCTGCAACCAATACAGTGTCATCTGCGTATAAGATTGCAAATAATTTAAAAAATATATTTAGTTTGTTTTCAAACATCTCTGATATAGTTGATAAACCTTCAATATTGGATGCATTCAGGAAATCGTGTAAATCGTTAAGATACATAGAAAATAAAAACGATGACATATTTTCACCCTGTCTAACACCATTTGCACATTGAAAAAAATCTGACTGTTCTTGATTATAGACAATTCTGGATTTTATCTGACTGTACATATTCAAAATAATGTCATACATTTTGCCGTTAATATTGTGAGATAAAAGTTTAAACCACAATGCTTTCCTCCATACGTTATCAAAAGCTTTCTCAAAATCTACAAACAAACAAAATAGTTTTTTCTTTTTTGTTTTAAGAAGCTCAAATAAAATATGTATTGAGAATAAATTATCAATTGTTGAATAACCTTTTCTAAAACCTGTTTGATTTTCATGTATTACTTTAAACTCATCAGAAAATATATTTAGTCGTTCATTAAGAATCGATGTGAAAAGTTTTCCAACGCAACTTAGAATTGTAATTGGTCTGTAATTTTGTGGCTTACTTTTTTCGCCTTTGTTTTTATATATTGGTATAATATTTCCTTCTAACCAACAAGAGGGAATATTACCTGATGAAAAAATTAAATTAAATAATTTTTCATAAATTGGTAACATCATGTTCTGCGTTGCTTTGATATATTCATTTCTTATACCATCTTCTCCACTCGATTTACTATTTTTTAGCTTTTCTATAGCTTTTTTAATTTCATTCTGATTTATATATTTGTTAAGTTCTTGGTTAAGATCTATGCACTGTAAGCTAGAGATATCATTATCAACTATTTGGTTAATTTCTTCATCTATTTCCGGAGCTTTATTTAAATCTTTAAAATATCTATATAGTGTATCTATATCTATTGGTGTGTTTTCTTCATGTTTATTTCTTTTTTTATAATTATTAATTATTTTCCAATATTCTTTGGGGTTCTTATTTTTTATTTCTTTTAAATGTTTACTAAAATTGTTTCTATATTTAATCTGTTCTTTATCTATGACCTTTTTGTATTTTTTTTCATTTTCTTTATATTTTTTATGTGCATTTTCTGTACGTTTTCTAAAATAAAAAACTTTGCTATTCCGGTATTTTTTTCGTGCTTTTTCGCAAGTTTTTGTAAACCAAGGTTTAGAGTTCTTTGTATTTTTATTTATTTGTTTCTTTCTTTTACCGGTATTGACACCTATAGAATTTTTTGCTGCATCTATGTATATCTTATTTAATTTTTCCACAATTTCATTAATTACACCGTCCTTAGCGTTTTCTAACTTGTTTAAATCTAACAATGCTTCGACTTCATTTAGTTGATCAGTATCAATTGACTGTACATATATATGTTCCCTAGAAGGATCCCATGGTTTGATTTTTTCTACACATTCCGTTATATTTGAACAATTCATACTAAAATCATTTTTTTGTAGTTTTAAATACAAAGCTATAGGTTTATGAACATCAGAAAATAATTTGTTTTGTTCAAGTACTTGCATATTCATGATATACTTATGAATAAAATAATCACAAAGAAAATAGTCTACAGTGCTCGAACCTTTACACGTTACCTCTCCTAATGAGTTATCGCCAATACGTCCGTTTACAATTAACAACTTATTTAATTTGCACATTTCCAATAAAAGTTTACCATATGAGTTTTGAATTTTGTCTTCGTTGTTTCTTTCTAACACATCGTCTATAAGGAAATTTTCATCTTCCATGGTTTCAAAGATTTCACAAAATTGTTCATTTTTTTTATTATCAATGTTGAAAATTTCTATATCTGTTCCGGTTCGAGCATTGAAGTCACCTGCTAACATAACATATTTGTCACTATGTGCTAATTCTTGCATCTCTAGTTCAATTGCACTAAATAAATCCTTGTTACCGTATTTTGAATTTTCTGGAGGTATATATATATTTCCGATTAGTAGGTTTTTTTCAAAAAGCGTATATTTTTTTGAGATTTCTAACCACAGTACAGCTTTACATTCTGTTTCATGGATATTAATAAAGTTTTTTAATTCATTTCTATATGCTAATATTATACCTCCAGAGTTCACTCTACCATATTTAATTCTATTTTTCATCTTTATTTCAAAACCATCGATTTCAATTATATCTAAGTCATCTGTTTTTGTTTCTTGGAAGCACACTATATCATATTGCCCCACTAGCTCTTGAAACTCTGGATAGTTTAATTTTTTCTTTATTCCGCAACAGTTTAATGAGAGGATTTTTAATTCATTGTTTTTCTGCGCCCAGTTTCTCACGTTTGGTACATGTTCACACTCCCCGGAGAGTCCCTAGTGTTTTTCTGGGGTGGAATTGATTCTCCTGCGTTTGTTCGACGAGCTGCCGTATCTGCTAGGGGTGCGTTGTGGATACTTCAATGTCTCAGCTGGTCCGGAGTCCTCTGGGTCATATGGCCTTCCGTTCACGTATAAGATGTCCCTGACCAGTTTCACAGTTTCACCCTTGCGTCGTAGCTCCTTCATAATGGGATAGAGGCTTTTCCTTGCTTGCTCGATCTCGTCCGGAAATTGGCGATTTATTTGGAAGGGTTTCCCTTTCAATTTATATGCACATTGGAGTACGTAGTCGAGGTCACGTTGATAAATAAACTTTGCGACAATTGGTCGATTCCTTTTGTTGTTTTTCTGCCCAAATCTATGTACAACTGTGAATTCGATGTCGTAATCAATGTCAAGCTCTTCGGCTAAAAAACCTCGTAATGTCTCCTCTGTGTTCTCTGGCACATTCTCGTGGATACCTGAGAAAATCAAGTTATATTTCATGGATCTGCATCTGAGATCGAGTATTTGATCCGTTAGCTCTTCATTTTTTTCGATTAACTCCTCAATTTCGTTCTCTCTCTTAGATGCATAGTGTACAACTTTCGCCTCCATAGCGTCTAGCTTTATTTTCATATTCTGAAACTCATTTTCTGATTTGTCCACTTGCTCTTTTATCCTGTCAAAAACATTACTTATTCCCTGTAAGCTTTCATGAAACTCTGCGTTTGTTTGATTTATAGAACTTATTTCTCTCTCAATGGAATTTACTCTGTGTGAAAGCCTCACTACTTCTTCACACATTTCGTCGATTTTCTTGTTCCTTGTATCGATAACTGAGCTCATTTTATTGAGTCGATCGTTCAAGGAGACTCCCATATTTCTCACAAGCTCATATAATTTCTCTTAAGTAATTTCTTTCGATTCTTCACTTTCATATAATACAGCCCTAGCCTCTCCTAATATACTCACAGTTTCTTTTTCGGTCGACATTGTTGTTTACTAGTAGAAATGTTTGCTATAAATAGACGCCCCTGACTTGTAGAACGAGTTTTCTCAGCCCTATCGAACACGTACAATTGTTTGTTATCTTTGTTTACAGTAATTCAAGTCACATTTTTTACAAAACAGGAGTCAGTGTGATCAATTATTGCTATAAGTGCGATTAGAATACCTCTTTTCTTCGTTCTCTTGTCACAATATGGTAATTTAGCCCAAAATTTCTCTCTTCTATTTTAGTCCACCTTTCACATTCACATTCACGCATGCGCCGAAACCAGAAGTACTGTGAGCAATGAGCTCACTAAATGATACCCACCGCCTCCCATATGAATTTAATGACAGTGTCCATGTTTTGCTGTGGGAAACCCAAAAAATGTGTCAGGACAAAAAGTAAAATAGGAGGTGCACAATGTCAATATATAATAAAGATTCTTTGAAAGTTTTATCAAATTTCATTCTGTGGTATGAGAGGAGTTACGGATAAGATATGGATATCCAAAGCGTAATAGACAGACAAACGGACTAACCGATTACTATATACGCTCCCGCTTTTCAAAAGGGGGGGGGGTATAATTAAGATATTGTACTGAGGTACTATACTTTAATTAAAGTATGTTTATTCCTCCATGACATCTGATCCCATCTGTGGTGTTTTAGGTCCAGTTTTATTCTGATCCTATCTTGTATTGTGTATGGGGCTTTTGAACATGAATATTCTCCTTATCTTCATATATTTTATTTATTGTACTGTTTCTTAACTAACTGTACTTAATGCCGAAATTATAAATATTTGTTGTTTTTTTTGTTTGTTTGTTTGTTAAAAGAAGTTTTATTACTTGTGCTCTATATATTCTATTACACGACATATTAATTTGAAAATTTGTTTTTTGATTTAAAAAATACTTTTAAAACAATTATGAGAGAGATCATATTAATTACACAAGATTTAAAACTTTTTTGTCTCATTAAATTACTTGTTTAAACTCGGTAACTCGTATATACAGAAGATTCAATATATTGTAAATACATAGAGAAAATAGTTTTAGAGGAAATGTAAATTTGTTGATAATGATCGTGGAAATACCACAAGTAGGATCAGGTGCCTGAGAAAAAGAATCATCCATCAGCTTACTAGTAACAGAGAGTGTCACGTTTTCCCTGTAATCATCAACACCAATCCTCAAAGAGAACCGCCCGGCATCTTCCTTCTGTAAGTTGGTAATACAAATAGACATTTGTTCGCCTGATGCATTACAGCTAAAGGTTCTGTTCGGCCATCCGTTTGGAATTGGATAAACAATGCTAGACACACGATAACACAACGCTGTTCTATTTCTTACAATAAAATGTGTTATATCTTTTCCAATTGTGGAAAAATTTAGACAAATGTCATCTCCAACCTTCGAGTTCACGAGGATTCCAGAGTAGCCTACAAAACAAAAAGCGTTATTAATTTTTTTATAGCATTTTACTGTCTGTTGTTTATGTAAATGAAATAGTTAGAATCAGTACTGTTGTGAAATACGGTTATAACGTACATTAAAACAATACAAATTTGGAGCAGAGAAAACATGGACAACTAAAAACATCAGAGGTCGCATCAGCTGTTACGGTGGAGTATTGCCCTAGTATCTTCTTCAGATCTGTGACACCCATCATGTGTCTCTTGTCATGATTGGGCAAATAATGGTCTAACAGTTTGTGTAAAAAATATTAGTCAAACACTTTAATTGTGTCTCTTTCTACAATGCGGAAGTAGTTTTCATAA